AGAAAATTCACGTATATTTCAGAAAATTCACGTATATCTTAGAAAATTCACGTAGGAGTTTTTCTGAGAAATGATTGAGGACTGCCATTTACCTAATGAGAAATAACAGTTGTCAGTATCATGGATGTGGGGACAAAGGTGGACGAAAGGAGTGAAGGAGCTGAGATTATTTACGAAGTGGCGTTAAATGGATTTAGTGATTTACTATTTGACAATGAGAAGCAGAGATGTGAGTGGCTATGCCCTGATTTCTGATATTGATATTAGCAATTAGATTTATGGTGTTGCCAATTTGCTAAGTAAGGCACTGCATTCAATTTAAACAGTAAGGTAGTTTATTGGATTTAGAATTCTCAAATTGCATTACCAATTTTGCTAATACATATTGTCAAAACCTGTGATACAGCTTTTTCAGATGTCTTCATAGCACTTCAGCATGAGGAGAGAAAAGCTCTAAAAGCCACAACAAAATTGATGAGAATTCTGGTTAATATGTATTTAAGGATATAGAATATCCTACTTAGCCAATGATAAAGAGATCATTTTAATTCTTCACATAGTGTAACCTATAAGAAAACATATGAATTCAAAATTATTTATTTATGTATTTTAATAGTATTTATTCATTTATTTATGCATGTCATATAAAAGATACAGATATTAAATAACAGTATTTATTATTATTGGTACTCATGAAAGCTTCATTTCATCTTTAGTTGATGTTTCTGCGCCTCATCCCCTTTGTGATTTTTCCTTGGTCTTCCTAGTACTTAGTTTTTTTTTTGACGAAATTCTTAAGACATTTAATTACAGAGAATTGCTTTCTGTGATAATGTGTCTCACACTAGCAACACAGATGTGAGTGCTTCTGACATTTGCTCTCATTCATTTATGCTGGACTTAGGAGTAACTCAAATCTATAGTTTCTTCCCAGGAATACTTGTGAATCTCATTATCTACTCTGTGAGTTATTTTAGTTTAAACTAGATGCACAGATACATAAATTTACTTTTTCAGGCAAAAGTGAAACCTTAGCTCACTGGAAAGTTCAGTAAACAAATAGACATAGGAGGGAAATTCAAATTTTCTCTGAAAATGATAATTTTTTCGTCTCCCCTTGAGACAGTTTGCATACAGACTATGGCATGTTACCATATAACTAATAGAGCTTATCTGCATAGCAAATTACAATAAAGCTTAGTTTTCTTCTTGTGATTCCAGCTAAAGAGCTTAAATAAAAATAGTAGTTCTGATATTTTATTTTTGAGCCTCAAATGTATAGATTGGTGAATAAGGTTTATAATGAGAGTGTTGCTGGTGACTCTCAACAAGACTTCCAAAACAAGAAAGACTCCAAGTGATTTAAGAGATAATGAGACTGTAATTCTTTTCCTATCTCCACAAGAAAACCTAGATTATTTTTGTTACCTATTTATGCTTATCTCCCAACTTGCTCCCCCGCATTCTCATCTTTTTTAAACCTATTGATGTTGTTTAATACAGTTCCAGTTTGGGGGCTGGCCCTGCAGCCTAGTGGTTAAAGGAGCCAGATCCCGTGTGGCCAACCACTGTTCAAACCCTAGCCCCGGTGGCTTGAAAAACACACCAGGTACATGCATGTGTGTGTGCCTGAACCCCCAACAGGAGGGACATGGAGAAGAAGGGATTGCGGTGTGGCCCGCTTCATCATGCAATGCTTTCCTCATTGCTGTCTCTGTCTCTGTCTTTCTGTCTCTCTCTGGTAATTAAAAATATAAAATTTGGGGGCCCGCAGATGGCATGGTGTTTAAGGGCACTGGACTTCCACATGGGCGACCACGGTTCTAGTCCCGGACCTGCTTTCTGGACCTGGCGACTTGCTTTCTCACTTTCTCTCTCTCTCTCATTCTCTCTCTCTCTGTCTCTCTCTGAACAAATAAAAAATAAATCAATAAAGTTAAATAAAATAATTATTTTTAAAAAAGTTATATATCGCTTTCTCATTTCCCCCCTCTTTCTTTCTCTCTGTCTGTCTCTGGTGAGCACATTTGCTCTATAACAAATTAAATAATACTAAAAAATAAGTAAATATTTTTAAAATTATATTAAAAATATAGACCCAGCTCATTCCCTTACTGTCAAGAATCTCACAATTTGAGCACGCTTCATTTCTCTGTGCACACCCTGGATGGGCCCTTTTTCCTACCACAATACTGCAACAGACACCCTTGCAGGCATGTGTCCACAAGCGGGAGCAATGCCCTCGGGTGTCTACCTTGAAGCAGAAGGCTGGCCGTGGGAAGGACATAGTTAGAATTTTACAATATCCTGCCATTCTGCTCTCCAAAGAGGCTCCTCCACAATGTACAGTCCTCCCAGCAGCGCCCCAGTCCCCGATTCCCCACAGCTTTAATAACACTCGGTATCGTCAGCCTCTTTAATTGTTGCCAATCCGATGAGTGTGAAATGGTATTTCATTGTTGTTTCAATTTGCATTTCCCTGATTACTCGAGAGGCTAAGCACCATCTCTTCCAACGGTTATTGGTCGCTTGGGTGTCTTCTGGAATTGCTTCGAACTATCTTCTGCTCATTTTTCTACTGGGTTGTCTTTTTCTTGTTGATGTATAGTTCTAGGTTGGTAGAGTTTGCTTTTTGCTTTACTTTCACCACGCTGGAATTTATTTTTGCAGTCTGGTTTGAAACAGAGACCAAACTTTATTTTCCAGATAGTTCTCTCCAAACCACTGATCTGAGATGTGACGACCTCCCTCCCACACTAAATCTCCATACAGAGGAAGCCTGTGTCATTGATCTCTGGACTAGCCTTCTGCTGTTTTAGTTGTATTTCAATAACCGATAGGACAAATCTCCTTTCACTGTTATTTTTCACAATGTTCTTGGCTGTTCTTGGGCATTTTCCTTGCCAAATTACCTTCAGAATCACAATGCCAAGGTTCACCAAAACCCCCCACGGGACTCGGATTGTGAGTGCAATGAATTTGTGGATGGATTGGGGTGAACATTTTCTCTCTGCCTCTGTTCATCTTCTCTCCTCAACCCTCCCTCCCTCCACATACCCAGAGGCGGGCCCAGCCCTGGCATCGTGTCCTGGACCCACTGCTCAGTCTTAGAAGCAATTCCAGAGGCTGTGAGCAGGGGCCTGGCCTGAGTTGGGATGAGGCCCAAAGGAGCCTGAGGGGCTTCAGGTCCAGGCTCTTTTTATTTATTTCCTTAGAGAGATTTTTGTTAGAGGGCACATGCGCTCACCAGAAAGAGAGACAGAGAGCCAGAAAGCAAGAAATCACCCCCCAGGGGGGATGGCCATGCTGCAGTCCCTTCTCTTTCATTCTCCTCTTGGGATTTTGGGCACGCATGCACACGCACCTGGTGTGTTTTGAGCCACCAGATTCGGGACTTGAACCACAGTCGACTAGGTGGGAGTCCAGCAATGTAACCATTATGCCACTTGCTGGTCCCCAGGTCCAGCCTCTGTTTTTGACTGTGGCCTCCATGATCTACCCGTCACCCCGAGTCTGGAACTCACTTGGGCCTGACCCTCCTCCATGAAGCTTCTCCATAAAGCAAAGTTGTGTCCGCTAAACCTGCCGATTCTGCCCTCCATCCATGTAAATCGGACCCACTAATACCTTTCTTCTGATTCTTCCAGAGTTCAGCACCGCCCTAAGAGGAAGCCCAGCCCCCTGACTTGGCACTCAAGGCTCTCCCACCCCAGTCTCTGCCTTCTTTCCTGGCCGCCATATTCCCCACCTCTCGACGCACTCCATGTCTGCATCTATGGCTTTGCTCCTTCTGCCCGTGCTGTCTGCACCAACCCTCCCATTCCTGCCTGCCCAGCTCAGATGCCACCTCCTCCACTGCACTGTAAGACTTCTCTCTTCAGAGAGGACTAAGCACTCTGTACATCTTGAAGGCTCAGAGCATGCGCGTTCCTGTAACATCGTGTCACCTGCAAACCTGCGTGCTCCCAAGGACAGGGCCAGACTAAAAGGCTTTTGAGGACAGATGCTGTCTCCTCCCCTCATTCCATTGCCGACTCTCTGCATGAACACCCCTAAGGATGAGACACTCACTACCTTGCAAGACAACATATGAGGGTACTTCAAAAAGTTTGTGGAGGGGGCCAGGAGGTGGTGCAGTGGTTAAGGCACTGGACTCTCACATGACTGACTGCGGTTCCAGTCCCGGACCTGGTGGCTTATCTTCTCCCTTTCTCTCTGTCTCTCCCTGGTCAAATTAAAATAAACAAATTGAGGGACCAGCAGTTGGCGTAATGGCTATGTCGCTGAACTCCCATGTAGCCAACCGCGGTTCAAGTTCCGGACCCCGTGGCTTAAACTCATGCTGGGTGCGTGTACGTGCGTGCCCAAGATCCCGAGAGGAGAATAGAGAAGAAGGGATTGTGGTGTGGCCATCCCTACTCGGGAGTGATTTCTCACTTTCTGTCTCTCTGTCTCTCTCTGTCTTTCTGGCAAGCGCACACCCCCTATAGCAAAAACCTCTCCAAAAATATAAAATAAAAAACAAACAAATTGATTAAATTAGATAAATATTTTTTTCAAAGAAAGTTTGTAGGAAATGGAATTAAAACACAGGTTTATTTTGGTGCAAAAACATTTTGAAATTCATGCATGGTTTCTGTATAACATGCATTTTCCACGAAATCATTGAAGACCCCCTCCTATTTCAGAAGAAAGAACAGAAATAATGATTTGTTGAACACCCACCACATTCTAAGGTCTTAACAATCACTAGCTCAATTATTTTTCATAAGAAACCTTCAAGCCAAGAAGTATCATCTCTAAAGAAACTGAGACGCAGAGAGGTTAAGTAAGTTGTTCTGAGTCACAAAGCCAAGTGGGCAACAGAGGGGGGATATTCAAACCCAGGGCTGGAGGAGCCAAGTCAGAAACACATCCTTTTTTTTTTTTTTTTAAAATTTGGGGCCAGCAGGTGGCATGGTGGTTGGGGGTGCTAGTCTCCCACATGGCCGGCCATGGTTTGAGTTCTGGACCTGGTGGCTTGCTTTCTCACTCTCCCTCGTCTCTCTTCCTCTCACTCTGTCCCTCTCTGGTCAAATTAAAAGAAATAAGTAAAACAAATAAAGTTTCATAAATTAATTTTTTTAAAAGAATTATTTTATTTTACCTTTATTATTTGTTTTAATTTGACCAGAGAGGGATAGAGTGAGACAGAGGGAGAGAGAGAGAGAGAGAGAAAGTGAGAAAGCAAGCTCCAGGTCCAGGACTCGAACCACAGCCAGCCATGTGAGAGTCCAGTGCCCTCAACCACCATGCCACCTGCCAGCCCCCAAGAAGTACTTTCTTTATGTCGAATTGAAGTTTGCCTCCCTGGACTTCGACCAAGGAATTAGCTGGTTACTGGACTAAGCACAAACTGAACAAGAACTAGAGGGTCGTGACTCACCTGGGTTCATACACAAGGAAACTATGGAGCCAGGACAAGGACCCGGGGCCTCACTTCTAGGCCAGCTCTCCTCCTCCTGTTCCTTGCATCCTCCCCCAGTCAGGAGGATACTCCGAAGGAGTCAGAAGGCCACCAGGCTGCCAGTGCCTCAGCTCAATCCAGAGCAGGGAGGGCCCAGAGTCACTTTAAAAATGGACGCAAAGACCCCCTCATCCTTCTGCACTGGGAAGACATTTCTTGGCTTCAAGCAGCAGAGCTAATCTCCCAGTCTAGACTAACATGAGCCAGTAAGACCAGCCACCCGTGGAACCAGCAGTTGGCGCAATGGTTATGTTGCTGGACTTCCAAGTAGCCTACCGCGGTTCGAGTCCCGGACCCGGTGGCTTAAACTCATGCTGGGCACATGTGCGTGTGTGCCCAAGATCCCAAGAGGAGAACGGAAGAGAAGGGATTGCGGCGCGGCCATTCCCGCTGAGGGGTGATTTCTCTCGCTTTCTGTCTCTCTCTTTCTCTGTCTGGCAAGCGCATGTGCCCCATAGCAAAAACCTCTCAAAAATAAAAATAAAAAATAAAAAGACCAGCCACCTGCTGGAGGGACTAGGACCCAGGGACAGGCTGAGCAGGGCAGAACAGGCTGTTGGGTGGGGAGCCAGGGTGACCTCACCTGCTGGGGGATGAAGGAGCTGGAGAAGGTGACTGCCGACCAGAAGAAAATGCCACAGCTGAGGATCACCTTTCTGTTGAAGCGGTCGCCCAGGTATCCGAAGATGGGTGCGGCCACCATGAAGCTGCAGATGAACACTGTGCGGGGAGAGGACAGCCTCAGGGGCGGCTCGCGAGGGACCCTCGCGTGGTGCAGGTCCCACGCCCTCCCACCTGCTGGAGGCCACTGCCCAGGGAATAGAGCTGAGGCTGGTCAGGGACCAGGAAGCAGATGCAAAGGGCCAACCGTAGCAGGCCTGCGCTCAGGAGGCAGGTCAGCGTGATGCCACAGCGCCATCTTCTTCAACGCCTGTGCCCTGCGTGTCCAGCTTCAAGCAAGCCCTTTGGTACTTTTTATAAAAAGAGTGATGACCTGGGACCAGCAGATGGCGTAATGGCACCTCCACTGGACTCCCACATAGTTGAATGCAGTTCAAGTTCCGGACCCAGTGACTTAAAACACGCCGGGTACATGTGCGTGCATGCCCAAGATCCTGAGAGGAGACGAGGAGAAGGGATTGTGGCGTGGCCATCACCCCTGGGGGGTGATTTTTCCCACTTTCTGGCTCTGTCTCTCCTACAAGTGTATACACCCTATAGCAAAAATGTCTCTCAAAAAAAAAGAAAAAAGAGTGACAATCTAGTTACTGGACGCTTCCTCATGCGAGGCTTGGGGCTCATGCATGGTACCTCCTGTATCTTTCTCCCCCCCCCCCCCCCCCCCCACATAAGGGCACAGC